CTGCTTGATAATCTCTACCATTGCGAAGTATCAACCGAGCAAATAGGCTGAATATGCTGGAGAAAGAGAGCTGTCAAGACCTTTCTTTTCCACGCGGTCCCAGTCTGCATCCACGATAGAGTGAATTCTGTCAGCGAGCTTTGCAGCGCTTTTCAGAATAGAGGCTGACAGCTCCATGTACTTCTTTCTCAGCAGCCGCTCAATTTCGTCTTTCTTAGCCCTGGCCGCCTTCTGCTGTGCGGCAATGGCAGCCATCTTATTGCGACGTGCGTTGTACCTGGTCCCTGAAATAGTAGATACGGTGGAGATGAGGGCGACGATTACCGGGGCTGGGACAAAGTGTAACAGCTCCCTGACGCGATCTGTTAAAAAGCCGTATGCCGTTCTGGTGACTGTGGACACGATGCCAGCCGGTAGTTCGATGATTTTCTTGAAGCTGTGGTTGACTTGCTCTAGTTGCGACTTTTCCTCTGGCATGACAGGGTTGGTGTTTCTTGACCCTTCGGGATTCTTACCCCCGCCGTCATCTGGTTGGCGCTTACCGGGACCGTCGCCTCCGTTTCCAGATATGGCTGAGCCAGAACCAGAACCGGAGTCCAGCTGAGGCTCGTCTAACTCAGAGTCCGTTGCGGTGGGGGAGGAAGTGGGAGAAGAAGATTCCGGTTGTTTGTCCCGTGATGATTCGAGTTCCTCATTAGAGTTGGATGACGTCTGCGAATTCATCTGAAGCGCAAATCTACAGCTATGTGCAACGACTGGCTGGCAAAAACAGGGAAATCAGCCGCACGGAGCGGAACGGTGCGGCCGAGATCAGGGGTACCAACATATTTCCCGAAGACGCTGCACTCACGGAAGGACCCGTAGCACTAGGCGACAGCGTACACGAGATCAATGGCACGAAGATGCTCCCCGTCACCTGCGGGCTCACCGATACATGCGAGCCAGGAGATGTCGATGGAGTGGCGGAAATCTGGGGCAGCAGCATACTGCTCGAAGCTTGAGGACTGACAGAAGAACCAAACCCCGGAGAGACCGACGGCGTCTCTAAAGTAACCGGCAACAGAACACTTGCACTTGCCACCGCGCTTGCTGACGGCGAGCTGGTACCTGAGCTGATGGTGGCACTACCAACCGGTACCTGATTTGCGCTGATAGATGCAGGAGCACTCACGCTTGGTACAGCGCTCTCACTCGGACTCGGCAGTGAAGATGTAACGCTAGACGGCAGCGCGGAATCATCACACACAAGAGCGTCTGCATCGATTCCATCATTAATGACGCTTCTGATGTCGACACGTTAATTTGACAGGACCTGTACTACGTTGGCGCGATCCTCGCACACAGTGCTAGCGGCGTCCGATTTTCTGACTGATGTCAGCGCTGTCAACAGCGCCCGAGCCATGAAACACCAACAACCAAACCGAAAACATCCACATACGCCACCGCTTTACCCTCGTCGCAAACCCCTTCTTTCTTCCTACCGCATCCGTCTCCACAGCCGAGTGCTCTTCACCCATCTCGAAATACCGCTCCCGCCCCTCGTATCGAAACCTCACCTTTCCATCGTCCCCTCCGTGCATTCCAAACCCATTCTCATCCCCATCATGCCGATGAAGCGCCATCCAGAACGCCTCCTCCCTCCCGCCTCACCGCTTCACAACCACCCGCCTATGTCCTCCAAATCTCTCCACCCGGTGAATTGCCCAGCCTCCTATCGTCCTCACGTTCACGTCCGCCTGCTCTGTGCGCTCGCTATACAGTCGCTTCCATTCATGCATCGCTTCACCACCTAAAGGAAGGACGCGTAGCCTTGCCAAACACACAGCGATCGACATGCGATCAACACACACATTCACGTCGGGTACGTCGCATGACGGCATTTTCGGCTGTACGCAAAGCTGAATGCCGGCAAGGCTGGTGAGACCAACGGTAGTAGATCAAATAGAGACTGGGTTTGCCACTTGTCGCGAAATCAATTCCACATCCCTTCCGTCACTACTTGCCTGATTGGCCAGACGGTTGCACTTGATAAATTGTTCACATGCGTTCATGATCTACGCTGTAATGGTGCAGCGGTACTTCAGGCCGTTCTCTGCCTTTCTCCTTAACGATTTGAACCAACCTGTCTCGCTTTCTGGAATTAGAACCATTCCTGACAGGCAGTAGTGTTCCGTCGTGACTGCAGCAATCTCTCTCGTATCTGCCCTGAAACTCACGAGCCAATTGTCTTGATTCCTGGCACCACTGATTGATGTCAGCTTCTAAAACTTGTTTCTCGTAGTCTGTTAGCTGATGGGTCAACACAGAGCGCTCTCTGTCGTTTTCGAGCACAAAGTTGTGCAGCTTCATTAGCAAACAAATAAGGTTAGTGCTTTTGTTTACAGAAAACTCCAACCCACCACGTAATATTCTCCAACGGGCAACTAGCATGCCAAATGCCTGCTCTACGTGCATGCGCAAGGAGGATAGAAAAAAATTAAAGTTGTCTTGGTCAGTGTCAGCACCCGATTTCGAAAATGGCGTGATTATGTGCTCTGTGCAGGAGTACGCCTCGTCTCCTACAATGTAGTAACAAGTGCCGAGGATGCCCTTGTCTATTTCCCGTTTCAGTCCTGAAACAGAAAAAGCGAGAGAATCGTGTGTTGAACCTGTACAAATTGCAGAACAAAAACGAAAAATATAGTCAGAGTCAACAAGAGCTTGAACCGGGATCGCATAAAAACCTTTCCGACAATAGAACATAGCAGGGTTTTCTTGAGGTTCGGGCTTCTTAATTTTAACACAGATTCCGTCTACCGCACCAACCCAACCCGAAAGCGGATTCACAGATTTCCTTGAAGTTTGAAAGCGCTTTGCAATGGATGGCAAACCTGCGCTACTAGTAGGAAACCCTTTCAAACGAAGCCGCGTCATCAGTGCCTCACACGTAGAATTGAATACTTCGTGCAAAGTACTCTCTGCCACTTGATAGGCAAGGACAAGGTCGAGGTAGCTTGCTCCGGCTAATATTCTTAAGGTGATTCCCAGCCTAACTGCGGGAGGAACTGTACTCCTTCGATATTCTGTGGCCGCCTTGAATGGTTTGTCAATGAGATCTTGCACCTCGTTTAGCAACAGAGCGAATGCTGCTTCTGACATGCGGTATGACTTTCGAAACAGATCGGGGCCTAGTGCTCTCGTAATGTCGTCAAAGGACACTGTATGTCGAGATGGAAGGAGACGCTGGACATATGATTTGCGTCGGCGCTTTCCTGTGAACTTGGTCCTCACCCAGTGGTACGCAGCCCCAGCCACGACGACAAACGAATCGGAGTCCGAAGATGTTCCTGATGACGAAGAGCCTGGGGATCGTGTCGTCATGATGTGCTATGGGGAATGTGTGAGGGATGGATGAATGAAGGATCGTGTGAGACGATACGGTATGATGCACCCCTTGAGCCAATTTACGGATCACGGCGCGCTGGCACAATACATTAAATTATTGGACATGTAATATTTTGAAAATCGCGAACATATACATCCAAACATGGCTGTCCATGCTGTCTTAAAGGAGGCCCTGAATGTTCACTGCACTGGGGTGAATGTTCACATCACTGAAGTGATCACTGGGCGACTCCTGAAATTCTAAAATCGCAAATTGTGTTGACCAAATCGGGATTTTGTGACACACAAACGGCGCGTTGTGCACACACAACGCGCCGTTTTCTCGGACGGGCGACCCCATGCTAGGTTAAATGTGTATCGCACAAATGTCAAAATGTGCGCGCGTACAATCCAAATTTACTGTACACAGAGAAAGCGTCGGCCGCCGCCCGACCGACGAGACTCGACATCTACATCCTACCGAGCATGGCTCTGAATGAGAAGTAGCAATAGAATAGCCATTTGGTCATTCATGGTTCTGACGGTGGCTGCTCGGTGAAAACACCATCATGATTGAGCTTAGCTCACAGCACACACTGTAGATAGAGCTCCGACGGCGTCATCGCCGGCGTCCGGTGCCGTGCTCGTCGTTAGGAGCGACCCTGACACACCGTGCTCGTCGTTAGGAACGAGTTCAAAGCATGCGTACAGGAGGGGGACGCACATTATGTGCGCAAGCATTTCCGTGGTAAAACTCATTTTTTGTTCACAAAAAAGAAAAATATGACTCTGACACAAAAAAAATTTCCGGAGGCGCCCACTCACTCAAATTCAAGTGATGAAATCACCAAAAACATCACTTTTTCTACCTGCTGGTCACCATCTCTCACCATTTCTGAGTGATTGAAAAATCAGCACTCTGGGAACATAGGGTTATCATCTGAGGGTCAAGAAAATTGTGCAAAGTATGAAAAAATGCTGCATACGATGTAGACTAAAGTTACAAAATTTGTTGCCATGGTAACGTTTTGGACCGATTCAGTTATCGGACCAACCCCTGTTTATTGAGACAGCCCTTTGAATTTTCATTCAAGGTAAGTAATTTTCTTCTCGTAATTAGTAGTTGAGGAGGTTTTTCATTGCTGGAAATTGGTCTCCGCCAAAGAGACGTTCAGTTTTCTGTGCACAAAAGTCTCGCGATTTGCGCACAGCTTATGCACGTAGGATTTCGCTGAGAGAACAACTGCATGTCAGCTGAGAGAACAACTGCATGTTGTACAAGTTGTACAGAGAGAACAAGTTGTACAACATGCTGACATGCAGTTGTTCTGAGAGCTGCATGTTGTAGTTGTTCTGAAGTTGTACAACATGCTGACATGCAGTTGTTCTGAGAGCTGCATGTTGTACAAGTTGTACAACATGCAGTTGTTCTCTCATGCTGGAAGGGTACAAATTTCCGGTGCTCTGCTGCCTTGCTTGCGTCCTACTGCGCCTGCCGTTGAGTATACAATAAGGTAGCTGTTCATGCTGGGGGATCTCTAAGTCGCACAAACTTCTACGATGCTCAAGGAGCCGTGCAACAGGCGAGATCGAGAGGGGAGGCGCTCGGCGGACAATTAACAATCATTCCGAACTTGACCAAACAGATTTACACGAGCCCCGGGGTGACGACGTCTACAGGTGCTGGTCTTGATACCGGCAACGGTCAGGCTGCCACCGATCGAACTACTAGTCTAAATCTAAACTGCGAACCTCAAGCATATGACAAAGATAAGACAATCTTCGATTCAAAGTGTAACAGGTGCTCACCATCTTCCCGCGTTCACCAAGACCAGCAAATGGTTTATGAAACAGATAAACTCTGCAGCCTACATTGAAATACACGGAGCACCGTACCCCACAAGTTCGTCCTCACACAGGCGCTCTTTCGCTTGCTTCGCGCGGGGAATTCAACTTCTACTCTGTGCGACAGTGCGGCAGTACGACACTAGCGCACAATATGCCAGTCCCATCACCCTTCCTTCAAGCCAAGGTCACAGTGTCGGGAGAAATTTGAACTACCGCGTTGGGAACATGACACTCTTGAGGGCGTCGGGAGTAGAAAGGGACGTCTGCAACAATGTGTGACGGTGTGCACACAAGCTGAGGATGTGCAGACCAAAAATATAGCTACGCCAGCCTGCTCTGGCCCCAAAAAGCGGATGACGCTCGACAGCGAAGACGAGGATCAGAGCTCGGACCTGCACGTGGGGCAGGATCGTTTCCGGGAGAGCCATTTATGTATACACTCCTTGTGATAGGCGTGCGAACACTTCAACTGGACGAGCACGGCTGCATACTCGACTCCTTCCAGACAAATGTGGCACGTCTGGTTCATATGCTCCTTTCCGGCTTCAAAATGGCCCAGCCCAACAAGCTCTGCCTTGGACAGGCCGCACATAACGTTGCGTTCCTCCAACTCAATGAGTTCCTCATATGTTAACCCGAGCGACTCGTTATCATCCATCTCGTCCCTCACGCGATGTCTCAGCCGTGCCCAGCGCCGAAACGCACTCATCTGTGCAAAGCGGGCAAACCTCCTCCTCCTCGGGCCGATTCTTCTCCCGCCGCCGAGGCTATGCGTGTCATCTAAGTCGCGATGGTTGTCCCAATGATGTGGCACTGGGCCCCAACCGTGCGGGTCCTGGAGGTTACGATAGCCTGTCGGGCGATAAATGCGCCGGACGCCAGCGTTGGTATCCGAAATGACACGCACCTGTGCGTGGCGATGGGTGGTGTCGAACGGGGATGCTTCCAGGCCGACATGCTCCTGGTACACGACGGGCAGGGCGCGCGGAACTTGAAAACGTACATGCGCGGTCGGGGCGGGCGGTGAGCGATGACGGTTGAGGAAGCGACCGCGACGTGACGGGGAGGCAGCGGCGGCGGCGACGGCGCTACGCACAAGAGCCGGGTGGTGGGGAGGGTAGGCCTGGCGAAGGGGAAGCTCGCTGGTGCCGCCCCACCAATCGTCAATTGGAAGGGCGGGGCGGGCGCGTGGGCGGCGACGTTGAGCCAGCTTGGGGGGTAGGAGTGTCACAGGGGGGTGGGATGAAGGGGATGAAGGGGATGGAGGGGATGTTGCGGCAGTTGTGCTGGTGGTTTTGAAGGAGCGGGCGGGTAGTATAGAGTAACGTGGAAGGGGAGGGGATGAGACAGAGGTGAGATGGAAGGGAATGGGCGAGGGAGATGTTTGAGGGAGCGTGCGGAGTATGTGCTTGTTGAAAATGGAAAACAACAGGGGAGACGGAGGGCGAGGCGGCGGAGGAGGAGGCAGAGGGTGGGAGGAAGGACTTTCCAGCACAGTGGCG